ACACACAAGCTAACAATGAAATTCCTTCTCCTAAACACTTCATGTATGACAGTGTAAAAGCATATCGAAGGACAAATTTTTTTTTTGTTGTTGTTGTTGTTGTTGTTGTTGTTGTTGTTGTTTTTTGAGACTGAGTCTCGCTCTGTCGCCCAGGCTGCAGTGCAGTGACCGGATCGCAGCTCACTGCAAGCTCCGCCTCCCGGGTTTACGCCATTCTCCTGCCTCAGCCTCCGGAGTAGCTGGGACTACAGGCGCCCGCCACCTCGCCCGGCTAGTTTTTCGTATTTTCAGTAGAGACGGGGTTTCACCGTGTTAGCCAGGATGGTCTCGATCTCCTGACCTCGTGATCCGCCCATCTCGGCCTCCCAAAGTGCTGGGATTACAGGCTTGAGCCACCGCACCCGGCCAAATTTTTTAAAAATACAATCATAACATGTTCAAATGTATACAGCTGATATACATCGGTTGTTTAAGAAATGGGGTCTCAGCTCATGTCTGTAATCCCAGCACTTTGGGAACCAAGGCAGAAGGATCACTTGACACCAGGAATTTGAGACCAGCCTGGGGAACACAACAAGACCCCCCTCTCCACAAAATACTTTTTAAATTGGCCAGGTGTGGTGGTGGGTGTCTGTAGCCCTACGTATTTGGGAGGTTAAGACCAGGGGATCAATTGAGACCATGAGTTGGAGACTGCAGTGAGCCATGATTCTGCCACTGCACTCCATCCCAGGTGACAGAATGAGAACCTGTCTCAAAAAAAAAAAGAGAAAGAAAAGGGAAAGATAGGGTCTCACTATGTTGCCCAGGCTGGAGTGCAGTGGCTTTTCATAGGCACGATCATCACACACTACAGCCTCAAACTCCTGGACTCAACAGATGCTCCTATCTCGGCCTCCCAAGTAGTAGTTCGTGCCACCTGTCGGGCTTGATATACATTTTGCAGTTATTCTTTGGCCTACATGATCCTAACAGGTAAGACTTAACTGAAGGCCAGGCGCGGTGGCTCACGCCTGTAATCCCACACTGTGGGAGGCCGAGGTGGGCGGATCACGAGGTCAGGAGTTTAAGACCAGCCTGGCTAATATGGTGAAACCCTGTCTCTAAAATCAGCCAGGCATGGTGGCGCGCACCTGTAGTCCCAGCTACTCAGGAGGCTGAGGCAGGAAAATTACTTGAACCCGGGAGGCGGAAGTTGCAGTGAGCTGAGATCGTGCCACTGCACTCCGGCGAGACTCCATCTCAAGGAAAAAAAAAAAGACTTAACTGAAATTTAAGTGATTTACATCTATGAAAATGCTATTGTAACTCAAAAGAGCATTAACATGCTATTCAATACGAAAAGGCAAGCTGTGTGAACACCACAACAGAAGAGTATCTAAAATCTTTACTAAACTCCTTCATTTAACATATAATGTGTTCCCCCTAATGCACGAGAACGGGTTCCAAGGATTATTAAAAAAAATTATCTTGCCGGGCGCGGTGGCTCAAGCCTGTAATCCCAGCACTTTGGGAGGCCGAGACGGGTGGATCACGAGGTCAGGAGATCGAGACCATCCTGGCTAACACGGTGAAACCCCGTCTCTACTAAAAATACAAAAACTTAGCCGGGCGAGGGGGCAGGCGCCTGTAGTCCCAGCTACTCGGGAGGCTGAGGCAGGAGAATGGCGTGAACCCGGGAGGCGGAGCTTGCAGTGAGCTGAGATCCGGCCACTGTACTCCAGCCTGGGCTACAGAGCAAGACTCCGTCTCAAAAAAAAAAAAAAAAAAAATTATCTTGCCTCTGCCCTCAGTAAGTCTGTAAGTTAGCGGACAACCAAGTAAACTTACTTTGGAAAGTGTTTCTTTGGGTTTAGTCATGATAAAACCAAGAAGAACTGAGGGTGAATGTGTTCTCCAATTAGAGACACTCTTTTCAAACACACTAGGATCCACACAGAAATATTTAGGCAAAAGATACCTATCAACAATTTACAAATGGCTAACAAACCACACACACTATTCTCAGTAGTAGTCAAAGATATACGAACAAGTGAGATATTTTAAAAAGCTATCAAAACGGCAAAGATTCTAAAATGACACCACACAAGGGTAATAAAAGGATTTCATCAAACAATCTCATATACTGCTGGTAGAAACATATTTCATATCTTGCTGGTAGAAATATATTTCATATATTGCTGGTAGAAATGTAAATCAATGTAACCTTTAGGCATATCATGTAGATATACTTATTATGATGCCAATTCCCTATACACTGACCATGTTTTTTTGCTCTTATAAAAATAAAAAATGTCACTGAAGGCCAGGTGCAGTGGCTCACACCTATAATCCAAACACTTTGGGAGGCCGAGGCGGGAAGATTGCTTGAACCCAGGCATTCGAGACCAGCATGGGCAACACAGTGAGACCCTGTCTCTACTAAAAATATTTTTTTTTAATTAGCTGAGTGTGGTGGCACATGCCTGTAGCCCTAGCTACTCAGGAGGCTGAGGTGGGAGGATCCCTTGAGTCCAAGAGTTCAAGGCTAAAGTGAGCTATGATTGTGTCACTGCAGTCCAGCCTGGATGACAGAGCAAGACCCTGGCTCTAAACCAAGTAATTTTTTTAAAAAGGCATTGAAAATGCAAAAGCATTCCTAGTTAAGGCACTGACTCTCCAACAACTTACTGTTTCAAAGCTGCCTTTATGCATCAAATCAATGGGTGGCCGGAATAGATCTGCAAGGGTAGTTAATTTCTTATCAATAGCTCCTCCATTTCTTAATTCTTGTTCTTGCCGAACTATAACACAGAAGGATGAAAAAGTTTCAGTTAGCCATAAAATAATCATGAATCACATTAAAAAAAAAAAAAACTTCTGTCAATTGAAGGAACTGCTGTCAACAGGCTTGACCTCAAATACAAAGATCTAATGTTGACTCTGAAAAAAAAAATGCAAAGGGAGACAAGAGGAATCTTAAGACTTGGTGGAATTCCCTATTCCAAGGATACAAAGAAAATTAACTGAAAATAGTCACATAATCAAAGTAACTTCTTCACATATTCAGAAACTAATTAACATGGGAGAGGCTGAGTGCGGTGGCTCACGCCTATAATTCTAGGGGTGGCCAGGGTGGGCGGATCACCTGAGGTCAGGAGTTTGAGATCAGCCTGGCTAACACGGTGAAACCCCGTCTCAACTAAAAGTACAAAAACAAACAAACAAACAAACAAAAAATAGTCATGCAAGGTGGAGCACACCTGTAGTCCCAGCTACTCAGGAGGCTGAGGCAGGAGAATGGCCTGAACCCTGGAGGCAGAGGTTGCAGTGAGCAGAGATCGCGCCACTGCACTCCAGCCTGGGCAACAGAGCGAGACTCCATCTCAAAAACACAAAACAAAACAAAAAGCATAGGGGAAAACTTTCATCCTCATTTATCTAGTTCTGAAAGCAATGTAAATTCATCTGCTGTTTTGTTTTGTTTTTTTTTTTTTTTTTGAGATGGAGTCTCGCTCTGTCGCCCAGGCTGGAGTGCAGTGGCGCGATCTCAGCTCACTGCAAGCTCCGCCTCTCGGGTTCACGCCATTCTCCTGCCTCAGCCTCCTGAGTAGCTGGGATTACAGGCGCCCGCCACCTCGCCCAGCTAGTTTTTTGTATTTTTTTAGTAGAGACGGGGTTTCACCGTGTTCGCCAGGATGGTCTCATCTCCCGACCTCGTGATCCACCTGTCTCAGCCTCCCAAAGTGCTGGGATTACAGGCTTGAGCCACCGCGCCCAGCCTCATCTGCTGTTTTTAGCTATGTTCTCAATCTTTAAAGACTCTGGGCCAGCCACAGTGGCTAACGCCTGTAATCCCAACACTATGGGAGGCTGAGACGTGTGGATCACCTGAGGTCAGGAGTGCAAGACCAGCCTGAGCAACATGGTGAAACCTCGTCTCTACTAAAAATACAAAAATTAGCCAGGCGTGGTGGCACAAGCCTGTAGTCCCAGCTACTCGGGAGACTGAGGGCAGATAATCGTTTGAACCTGGGAGGTAAAGGTTGCAGTGAGCTGAGATTGCACTACTACACTCCAGCCTGGGTGATACAGTGAGCCTCCATCTTAAAAATAAATAAAAATAATAATAAAAAGATTCTAACAGTAGAGATGATGACCACTGTTGTCACCTTCCACTGGGAGGACAAAGAATTCCCCAGATGACTTGAGTCAGTTCAGGTTCCCCATTAATTCTCTCCAAAGTTACAAGACCTATTTGTGCCTCAATGAACTCATTATAAATAAACCACAAAATCAAGCATGGTCCAAGGGTTTCTCATATATCCTTTTAACATAACTGTCCTTTCTCTAGGATTCCATTGCTAAATCAATACTAGATCCTCTAAAACTGTAAGACCAAGATTCTCATTCTAACTTACACACAAAAATATTTCAAACAACTGTAGCCAAAATATTAATAGGCTGCTCTGGGTGGTATGGCTTTTTCTCCTATGTTTCAATCTCTTACAATAATCATTTTCATTATATATTCCTTTCATTGACAGAAATCAGGATCCTGAGGGAAATCAGTTTATTTTATTATAGTAAGCATTTTAAGTATTTATTCACAAACGAATTAAGTTTATCAGTTACCAGATTTCCTACACTATCTCCATCTCCCTTTACTATTTTTCTATAACCAAATAGGTTAGAATTTGGAACAGTTCAGCTCAGGGGAGAGTTAATCACATCCTGGATCCATAATTTCACTTTTTAAATAAGGTGAAAACTTAAAGTAATTGGGCCTAACAGCAATCATCTTTTTCTTTTTAATAGGAAGAGAAGAGGGAGATGATAAACTGGTCCATAGATACCTACTAGTTTCAGTCTGAAAATCCCGGAAACCATCAAAAATTGAACGTGCAGGCCGTCGTCTTTTAGGAGCTTTAGGGGAGAAAAAACAGAATTGAAAAATTTTAAAATTAATTTTGAAACTTAATTCTAAAAATTTCCTCATCTAAAAGTATTTTTTTTAAATAAAAAATATGAAACCCTTCACGAACTGCATGTCACCCTTGCACAGGGGCCATGCTAATCTCTGTATCATGCTAATCTCTGTCTCGTACATGTACAATTTTAGTACATGTGCTGCCGAAGCGGCAGTATTTCTTGCTTTAAAACACTCAGATTCATAATGGTGTCTTCCCTCAAAAAATAAAAAAGTTTAAAAACTTTCAAATCATTCACGTATAATTAATCTGAACATCTTCCATTCAGCCACCTTGTATTACAAATGAAAAAATTCAGGCCCAGTTAAAAGAGACTTGATCAAACTTGTGTAAAAAGTTTACTATCGGCTGGGCATGGGGGCTCATGCCTGTAATCCCAGTACTTTGGGAGGCCAAGGCGGGTGGATCACCTAAGGTCAGGAGTTTGAGACCAGCCTGACCAACATGGTGAGCCCACCTCTACTAAATACAAAAAATTAGCCAGGCGTGGTGGCACATGCCTGTAATCCCAGCGCCTGCCTATAATCCCAGGCTGAGGCAGGAGAATCACTGGAACCTGGGAGACAGAGGTTGCAGTAAGTCAACACTGTGCCACTGCACTCCAGCCTGGGCAACAAGAACGAAACTCCATCTCAAAAAAAAAAAAACTTTACTATCCTGGCCAGGCACTGTAGCTCATGCCTCCTGTAATCCTAGCACTTTGGGAAGCCAAGGCGGGTGCATCACCTGAAGTCGAGTTCGAGACCAGCCTAACCAACATGGTGAAACTCTGTCTCTACTAAAAATACAAAAAAACTAGCCGGGTATTATGGCGTGCACCTGTAATCCCAGCTACTTGGGAGACTGAAGCAGGAGAATCACTTGAATCTGAGAGGCGGAGGTTGCAGCGAGCCGAGATCACGCCGCTGTACTCCAGCCTGGGCAAGAACAGTGAAACTCCGTCTCAAAAACAAAAAAGTTTACTATCTCAATATCCAAGTGGTGACGTCAGAAAGAAAGAAGATTTTGAGGACACCGCCACGTAGAGATGAAGCCACACACACGCTGCAGATATCCAATTCAGGTTACAGCCTTCAGGATCCGACTGCCCTGTTGTTCAGGTTACAGCCTTCGATCTCTGACTGCCCTGCTGTATGCAGTAACTCGACACTCTAAACCATAAGACTGAAGGACTGTTTCTTAGGGATTGGATATAGTAACTCTACACTCTAAACCATAAGACTTAAGGACTGTGTTTTAGGGACTGGACACACGCGCAGAACCGTCAAGACAAAAAACATTTTTAATTTTGGAAACTTTTTTTCACAGGTACACAATGGTTTAATGACAGAAAAGTAAACAGATCCACCTAAGGTATTCTACTACCCCTGTAGAGTGTCTATTACCCAGTCTCTAAATAAAGGCTTTTCATGATTCCCTCAATATGGGTAAGTTATTAAGTTGGCTTATGACAAGGCTGGCCAGCACGTAACCAGAATAATTCTCTGTTGAGAAATGATTAGTATCAAGATTAGACAGAGACTATAGAATCCCCTAACCCGTGTCAAAACATACTTCCCAATAACTCGTGTTTGTGATTACACAGGATAATTATTCACATCCAGCACTACCGAGTAAAAGGCAAAACAGAGCAACAAAAAAATGCCGAATATATTAAAAACTTCATTTTTCTTTAAAACATATTCATATGCATATGATTCCTGTGTATATGTGTATCAGTATTTATGTTAAACAATCACATTATCATCTCTGGGAAAAGAGATTTTGTAATACACTATCATGTTTTATTTTTTACTTTTTGAGACAGTGTCTCGCTCTGTTGCCCAGGCTGGATTGCAGTGGTGTGATCATGGCTCACTGCAGACTCCAACCTCCTAGGCTCAAGCCATCCTCCTACCTTAGCCTCCCAAGTAGATGGGACTACAAGTGTGCAGCACTACATTCAGTTTTGTTTTGTTTTGTTTTTTAAGAGACAGGCATGTCACTATGTTGCCCAGGCTAGTTTGGAACTCCTGGGCTCAAGTAATCCTCCCACCTCAGCCTCCCAAAGTGCTGGGATTACAAGCATGAGCTACCACGCCTAGCCTGAATTAATTAATTAGTTAATTAATTAATTTATTGTGACAGAGTCTCACTCCGTTGCCCAGGCTGGAGTGCAGTGGCATGATCTCAGCTCAGGTTCATGGGATTCTCCTCCCAGGTTCAAGGGATTCTCCTGCCTCAGCCTCCCTAGTAGCTGGGACAACAGGTGTGTGCCACCACGCCAGGCTAATTTTTGTATTTTCAGTAGAGAGGGGGTTTCATCACCATGTTGGCCAGGCTGGTCTCCAACTCCTGATCGCAAGTGATCCACCTGCCTCAGCACTAAAAGTGCTGGAATTACAGAAGTGAGCCACCGAGCCTGGCCTGAATTTTATTTTTAATTTAAATATTGCACTCTGCGTCCCTCTCTACCTTCCTCTCTCCCTCCTTTCTTCATTTCTATTCAAGGAAAAGCAAGAAATGCCACACTTTTCAATCTTGGAACTATTTTTGATCAAGAGCTCCTATTTCAAATGTATATGGCTTCTAGCAGGAATAATAGAACCTGCCAAAGAATGCCTCTAAAACTAGTTATCTGGCCCTGGTGCAGAGACATGCACCTATAGTCCCAGCTGCCCAGGTGGCTGATGTGAGAGGATCGCCTGAGCCAAGGAGTTCGAGTGCAGTCTGTGCAACATACTGAGGCCCTGTCTCTTTAAAAAAAAAAAAATTAATTAATTAATTAAAAAAAAAAACTAGATATCTGATACCTTTTAACTCTAACAATTAAGAAACTGGCTGGAGGCTTGGCGGCGCTGTGGCTCACGCCTGTAATTCCAGCACTTTGGGAGGCCGAGGCGGGCAGATCACCAGGTAGGGAGTTTGAGACAGTGAAACTCCGTCTCTATTAAAAAAATAGAAAAAATTAGCTGGGCGTGGTGGCGGCGCCTGTAGTTCCAGGTACTGGGGAGGCTGACACAGGAGAATGGCGTGAATCTGGGAGGCAGAGCTTGCAGTGAGCCAAGATCACGTCACGGCACTCCAGCCTGGGCCACAGAGCAAGACTCCGTCTCAAAAAAAAAAAAAAAAGAAAGAAAGAAAGAAAGAAACCAAGGATATCTTAGAATAAGAATAGTTGCCTAAGAAAGTATATTATTTTAGGAAGGTAGCACACAAAAGGTAATTTTCTTCTACCTTTAAACTGCCAAAGGTAGGTGAGTCAATATTCCACATTATTTCACATCACCTTTCCAACCTCCCCCTTCTCTATAAGGCACCAATCTGGGTATACTCACTAGTTCCTCTTATTGCTATCCTTCTACCCAATTTCTTTTACTTCTTGGGCTAATATCCCTCTTCCCATTTGTCTTCCATTCATTTACCCTATTGTAAGCAAAAACCTCTCCTCAGACCACACCACCTCTAGCCCTAGGCCTATTACTGTTACCTGCCTTTTCAATGTGGTCTCCTGGCTCTTCCAAGCCATCTGCCACAAGCAAACATCAGTCCTCTGTCCTCACTCTACTGCCCACATAATAGAAGTACTGGTGGCCGGGCGCGGTGGCTCAAGCCTGTAATCCCAGCACTTTGGGAGGCCGAGACGGGCGGATCACGAGGTCAGGAGATCGAGACCATCCTGGCTAACACAATGAAACCCGGTCTCCACTAAAAATACAAAAAAATTAGCCGGGCGTGGTGGCGGCGCCTGTAGTCCCAGCTACTCGGGAGGCTGAGGCAGGAGAATGGCGGGAACCCGGGAGGCGGAGCTTGCAGTGAGCCGAGATCGCGCCACTGCACTCCAGCCTGGGCGACAGAGCGAGACTCCGCCTCAAAAAAAAAAAAAAAAAAAAAAAAAAGAAGTACTGGTCACTGAAGTCAAAGAGACTAAGCTATAAAGAGCTAAAAGAGATTCAGAAGGAGCTTCAAAGTCAGCATAGGGGAGGGACAGCTGGAGAAAAAACGTCGTGAGAAGAGTGGCACTGTTTTACATATCCACACAGCTGTTCGTATCTGGCTTCAGAGAAGACATCTGGATCTTCAGATCTGCTTCTACATTCCTTTAGATCTGCTGCTATTCTTTCAGCTCAAGTACAGAAAGAAAATTAAAATGTACTCTCATGCAGACATGCAGCTGTAAAAGGGAGGAGTGGGCTTTTTGTTTTAAAAGATGGGGGTCTCACTATGTTGCCCAAGCTGAAGGGCAGTGGCTATTCAAAGGCACAATTCCACTACTGATCTGCACCTGCTCCGTTTCCTCTTCCTCAGGTCATCTGGTGGTCCTCCACTGCCAGCAGGTCACCATATTGATTCCGAACTCAGTGCAGACACCCAATCAACATAGGGCCATACAGCCAAGAACTCCTGGGCTCAAGCCATACTCCCACCTCAGCCTCCACAGTAGCTGAGACTACATGCCTGTGCCACCATACCCAGCAGCGAGGAGTATTTTAAAGTCTTAGATGATTGTGGATATTCTTCTTTAATAGTACACCAATACTTAACCAATGGTAGTTTCTTAGAGGACAGCTGCAAAGTGGAATCTGAAATCTTATCAATGAGCTTTTCATACTGTTTCATTATAACCCACTGTACTATGTGGTAGGCAGTCTCTAAGACAGCCCCCAATTTTCCCTGTCTCCCAGTATTCGTACCCTGTGTGTGAATACCTTGAGTACAGGCAGGATTGAACAGAATGTAGCAGACTGATGGGATTTCACTTCCAGATTACATTACAAGAAGAGAATGGCTTCCATCTTGGGCTGCCCTCTCAGGCTCTCATTTGCTCGGTGTAAAATGGATGCCCCCAGGCAATAGACACAAGAATGAGTTTAGGAGATCCTCCTCCATTCAGGCTTTGAGATGAATGGTAGCCTAGCTGACATATTGACCACACCCTTGTAGGAGTCCCTAACCAAAGGCCACACCCAGATTACTGACTCAAAGAAACTGAGATTGTTTCCTTTGTTTTTTGTTTTTTTTCAGGCAGTTTAATTTTGGAACAACTTTTTACTCAGCAATAAATATCTAATACAATTCTTTTTTTTTTTTTTTTTTTTTTTTTTGAGACGGAGTCTCACGCTGTTGCCCAGGCTGGAGTGCAGTGGCGCGATCTC